TGTGTGTGTGTGTGTTAGAGGAGGAGGGCCTCAGGTCAGTGGGTACAGCCAGTAGGAGGATGCCACTCTTGGCATTTTGATCCTGGAATTGGGTTTGTGAAGGGGAGGCAGTCCCTTGGTACATTTTTACTCTCTCACCTTCTGGACACTGGGAGCTCTTATCACTAAACACCTCAGTTTCAAATCCCCTGCTCTTTTTGTTGGAGATTATAAACCAAGCTTCTGATGTGCAGGATCCACTATCCCTCTTCTTGTCTCCCTGGCAGGACAGGCAGTGCCGATGTTCATGAGTAGAGTGTTGATTTTCAGCTCGTTTTCCCTTTGTATTTTTTTTTTCAGCTTTAATTGAGTTTATTGGTACATTTTAGGGATACAGTACAGTTACATTCGTTGTTGGGATCTTGTACCTCTACATGACAAATCTTGATTCTCACTTTTTCCCCTTACCTCTGCCCTCCCTTCACCCCCTCCTCCCCTCTCCATCTACAAACACTTTATTTTCATCTTTTCATTCTCTCACACTTTTTTCTTTTCCCTTTTTACTCTTCCCCTACCCATCCCACCTTCCCTACACCTTTAGCTCCTTTGTCCCCATTTCTCAATGTCAGTAATCTTATTAGAATCTTATGCATTGTTGCAGATTATTTACACCAGAGAAACTATTCGGTATTTACACATGTGTGACTTATTTATTTCACTTAGGAGTATATCTTCAATATGTATCCATTTTCCTATGAATGAATCTATTTTCTCGTTCTTTATGGCTGAGTAATATTCCATTTTATAGAAAAACCACAACTTCTTTATCCAGTTTCCAACGGATGGGCAAATGCGCTAGGGAAAGGGATCAGGAGACGGGGAAAGTGAGATAAGGGGTGAAAAAAAGGAATCGGGCTGTGTTACGTACATGTACCAACTTCCCACAAGGAACATAAACGGTACGGACGGTGCATATGTACTAAGGACTAAAATAAGTAAATAAACTATTAAAAAGAAAAATACAATTGAATGCAAATACCAAGAATTCAAGTCACAAAAATGACTGCAGGCTAATAATTAGTCACCTTGGCCTGTGGTTTCATGAGGCATTGAGGGCAGTAGTTGGCTACTGAGTAAAATCCCAGTAAGAACACACGATACTGCAGTAACTATGCACAAAGGAAGGACGCATAGAGGCGGTTACATTTTGCTCCTCTCTTCTTTTTTTAGCGAAGATTTGAGTGTAGTTACATGTTTATAAGGAGAAGATAAAGTGCAAATGGAACACAGAGAAACAAGACTTCCTGGGGGGGGATAATTTAATTCTGAGCAAGATGAAGTTTTACCAGAAAACCTGGTAAGAGGAAGGGAAGAGGAACAGAAACACATGGGTATAGATAAATTATATCTCAGGCACTAGGAAATTGGAGGAGGTTCCTCTCACCAGTTGTATGTTCTCTGGAATGTATTATGGTAGGCAATTGCTGACGATGCAAAGGGCAGGAGGAGTAGGCTAAAACGGTTGAGGAGAGAGGAAGCTTTGAATAGTAGTTGTTTTTTCCCCCCACAAATTGATTTATAAGTATAAAGAAAAATAACAATTTTGAGAGTTTTGAATGAATTTAACAAAGTGATCCTAAAATTTAGTGCAAGAAAATAAGCTCCTGAGTAGCTAAAAATACCCTTGATGAAGAATAATGAGGTGGACAGAATATGTTTCACTAATAATATAGCAAGACTTACCATGACTCTGCGAAATTAAGAAAGTGTGACACAGGCTCAATAGAAAAAGATTCAGAAGTTTCGCACATGATTATACAGGACAGAAGTGGTATTGCCATCACTGGGAACAGGATAAACTTTTACAAAGTTTGCCCTAGTAATTATTCAGGTTGAAAATTTAGATCGGATCACGATCTCATTCATTTACAAAAAACAATTCCACATAAATTAATTACATGAGCAAGCTAAGATTTTAAGTTTAAAAATCCAAAAGAATATTTTACTACCATAACATATGATTAATTTTTTATTATAATTTTTGAGCCAAAGTCTTTGTATTGATGATTTTGTCTTGCAAAAAAAAAAAAAAAAAAAAAA